TAAAAAGACAATTGAAGTGGGCAACAACAAAAGGTGGGAAGGAGGGGATGAAAAACAACTAATTATCTTTATCTGGCCTAATCTGAACTCACCACTGCAGAACACAACCTTGGAGGTCCTCCTGCTGCAGAAGCACGTTTGACCGAATGCGTCGCAAGCTGAAGAAAGGGGCAAAGGTGAAAAAATGTATCACATATAAGTCAAAAATAGATAATCATATTTTTGAATACAAATCTTGATAATTCAGTTGTATTGAGTTAGTGAGATGGCTCAGTGGAAGAGCAGGACCAGTGGTCTCGTTACCGGGATATACCGGGTTCGAAACCAAGTCAATGTGCTACTGCCCTTTGTTAAAGCATTGGTGTTCATTACCAAGTCCCTCGGAGAGGCTGTGAATCTGTCGGTCCCCTGATTGCTTACTCACAAGCATACCGGGTCCCATGCTTTTATAGCAGTCAGGTAAAATAATCATCCTTAAACAACATCAATCATAATGCTATAACCCAGAGATATCTGTTTTACCACAACAATCGCAGTTAATCTCTCATTGCCATTTTCGAATCGTTTTCACACTCTGTTGGATATGCGCATGTCGAGGATTTGATCAAGTCAATCACACATAAGTTGAGTAAAAACAACTGATATTGCTTCTCTCTATCCAGACGTACAAATGACTACCCTGTAGGATGCAATTTTTTTTTTTTATGTGTGTTAAAATATATGTGCGGCTATCCCAACGGATAGGCTAGACTGCTCCTATCCCTTCAATCTGACCCTTTTCTATCAAAATGTTGCAATTAAACGTAATAAAAAATTGAACACAGCTTGATTTTTCAATCAATCAGAATCACGTATTCGGGGCATGTGTTTATTATTTCCTAAATTGAGTTTTGACGCAACTTTCTATGCAAGAGGTCCCCTGACCTGTTTCTCTTGCCAACTGTTTCCGTTGTTTGCTGGGAAATATTGTATTACTTACACTTGTACTTCTTCATGTTCTGTCCCCTCTTCTCAGCCATGAAGAAGTCCTCCATGGTGTTCTCATACTCCTCGAGCTCCTCGGCGAGGGTGGCCACGATGAGGATGGCGGCAAGAACGAAGAACAGAGCCCTGGCCATTGTGATTGGGTTTTGGTTGCTGGTTACTAGGAAAGCAAAGAAATTAAAAAAAACCTCATAAACATAGCCACTATATTTACTGTAATTATGTTTCTGCTAAGATTATTCGCCTAAAATTGTCTACATTTCAATTATATTAAAAGATTTATACCACAGTCACACCGCCAAATGGAGCCCAAGCCGTTTCAAAACTCACCAATTCTTGGCCGTTCGATGTAAAGTAATTTTATGATCAGTCTATTTTTGTTCTTTCGTCGGTCTCGTTGGCGTTTAGTTGTTATTCAGTTTTTCAATTTCAGTTTCAGCTTATTTTTATTTCCAACAGAACGATTACTATAAACAACTATGACAGGGAATCAATCACAGAAATCAAAGTATAATTTATTTTGCAAAGCATTAATTGCATTTCAAAAGAGAATGTATACATTGATTGAAAGTTATGCCTCTTCTTTTTTTCAGACCTACACATTCATCAAACTTGTTCAACCATTTTTTTGGAGCCAAAGGTGAGAGGAGAGTGCTGTACAAGTTATGCTGCCATCACAGATTCATATATCTTTTGTATTTAAAGAAATTTCGAACAAATATATTATGTGATTCGACATTAAATTGCAAAATAAATTCTCACAGGAAAACGATGCTGCAAATTTCGCAAGAGTCGGGGATACTCTCTCATTAAGAGATAGAGAGGGGGAGAATGAGAGAGAGAGCGAGTATGTGCATGTATGCGTGTGTGTGATATTGTAATATGGTTCTATTAACTAAAGTCTGTTTTTAAATGTTTGTTTTCACTCTCCAACAGTGGAGCAAACTGTAAAACTTCCTTTTCTGGAGTTGATTGAATCTGAAGCCGACCAAGTATGTAGAATACAGTATACTCACCAAGTGAAGAGAGAAGATGACGAAATGTTCTGCAACGAAGTCAGGAATGGTTCAGTCGACGTATACCTTCGTCTATTTATACTAACTTTTTCTCGTGTAGAAGCGTGAATAAAGTACATTAAAGACATTAAAGATAATCTTCCTTTTTTCAATCAGACACAAGACCCCGAAAGGGCTATGAACCCCCGTTGACAAGGAAAACAAGCTGTTCATGCAATATATTACAAAAAGTTCATAATGTCATCGTGCTTAAACTACCCATGCTGTGCAGTCTTGTCAATATCGACTGCGCAGTAGCAAAGACATCATATACATTTAATCATACTGCCACCAGAAAGGGGGAAAAGAACAGGGCGGAACTAATTGAAATGTAAAGGTCAGGAAAGTTTGTGTACACACACACACACACACACACGTGTCACATTGATCATCATTAAAAAACTCTTACAAAGTTATTTAAGAGGGTCGTTTGCTTTTTCTAAAGAAAAAAAAGAAGAAGCCGAAAAGAGCTAAATCGAAAGTGGAAGTCAAGGTTCTATGGGTCGCAACAAAAATTTCTTTGGTATTTCGATATAATACTTCACGAAATAATAGAAACATAGGTAGTATACTAACAATGAAAAAAAAAAAATATTTATAGTAACGATTATAATACCGCTAATAATGATAATAATAATGATAATAATAATAATAATAATTATGATACTAATAATACATATAATAATGATAATAATAATGATAATAATTATAATGATAATGATAATAATGATAATAATAATATTAACAATAATAACAATAATAACAGAAACTTTTCAAATGCTTACATATCGATTCGAATGAATACCGAAATCGCCCAGTGATATATGTATACAAATAGGTAAGAAAAGTACGTGTTGCAAATAAAGAGAATAGACAGCATTAGCAAAAATAACCGAAATAATTTGACAAAGGATAGGTTTTCAAGTATCTTAGGTAGGAATTTTGAGTGCATGCCTTCGGACTGGGTGATTCCGGTCATATTCCGTTGAAATATCGGTTTCGTTCAGCAGTTATTCCATCGGGGTTCAAATATTGTGGTTATTTCTCTTTTTTCATGAACAACGTGTTGAAATGAACCCCACTTGAATTTAATATTTTCTAAATGGTCAAAATTGATCTCTGTACATAGACGTATTTTGTGTTACATTTAAATATGATTAAACATGACGGAAGTAGAATAACCACACCTAGAAAACTGACAGGTGATTAACAAACAAAAAAACACAAATACGCAACACACAACACAAAAATGAGGGCGCATCCCACTAAAGTATTGAAGCAGATGGAATGTGGAGTTTAACCCCCCCCCAAAAAAAAAAATAAATAAATAAATAAATAAATAAAAAAATAAATAAATAAATAAATAAAAAAAATAAAAAATAAAAAATAAAATAAAAAATAAATAAATAAAATTTAAACAAAATAAAAATAAAATAAAAAGGTTACTTTAATATGCGAGATCTTGGTGAGTTTGGTAGTATAAAGATCAAATGAGGTACTTGAATGAATGGAAAAAAAAGGGGGGGGCGCAATTTCATGAATGAAAGATTGATCACAAACAAATATGGGGCTAGAAGGGCGTTTATCCATTTTACCTTAACACACATTTAATGCCTTTCTGGTTCTGAACAGATGATATAAAACTCAAAAATTTAATCTTGAAAAACGAGAACGATTCCCTGCAAGACTTGTGGATAAATATTTCTGCTACATTTTATATATACAAATATGAAAAATATATTAAATAAATACTTCTTCTTAGCGAGAGTTGGAAAATAGGGTAATTTTGCCAACACAACAGCAACAACAACCATAGCAATAACGGCGAGACTAAAAATGATTTTTAAAAATTGAGGATTTTACGTTGTACTTTGTTTTCACATATTAATTCTGAAACTATTCTGTTAACATTAATGTGGTGTAAGCGATGGGGCGTACTTATTACCGGGCTTTGTCAATGGATATGGGGGCGTAGGAACATAAACATTGGCAGATGGCTCGTGCTCTCATGAACTAGGAAGCCTGTATAGGAAGCCTGTTTCAAAGCCACGTCATATAATAAAGTCTGGTATCATCCTAATCAGCGAAGGGATAATAACGTTGAACCAGAACTACTTTTAGGGGCAGAGCTTGGTAGGGCTAGTTAATGAATAAAACCAGAAGAATATGGGAAATTCTTGCGAAGCCATGTTGAAAATGGTTGGATATTGAATGTGTTTGTGTATACATCTAAATATCGAAACGGTATTAGACACATAATTATACATGTGTATTCGTGAATTGCATCATTTATTGTACACGCATTGCCAGTTTTTGAATTACTCCGAGCCAGGGATGCAATTTGTAATTAGATGTCATGTTCTGAGCGTTTTAATTGCCAGGCTTTGACGTATTGGTACGTCAGTAGATGATTAGGTCTGTAACGGGTATTGCTGTCAAGTTCCCCCTTTCTCTTTTTCCGTGTGATTCCCTTATTCCTATTTTCCTGGTTTCATTTAAATTTTTAGGATTCTGAGTAGTCCCTTCTTACTCTCTCTTTCTCTCTCTCTCTCTTTCTCTCGCTCTCTCTCTCTCTCCCTCTTTTTTTTCTCTCTCTTTCTCTATCTCTCTCTGTCTCCTCATCCCCCTTTCTCCCTCCCTCTCTCTCTCTCTCTCTCTCTCCTTTCTCTCTCTCTCTCTCTCTCTCTCTCACAATATCTCTTTCCCTCCCCTTCTTTCTCACACATCCAGATACACACTCACTGTCCAATTTTGCGACTTTAATTTCTCGCTCTTACGCACAAACAAACACGCATAACACACGCGTGCGCCCACCCACACAAGCAAACACACATACTCATTCTTCATATACATACTAAATTAGCTAAATTTATAAACCGAAAAGAAATTACTTTTTTTTCTAATTCAGTTTGCGAGAAATAAACAGTCGAGGACTCTTCATGTATTTTATTTTAGTTTTTTACTATTGGATAGATCATACCAAGAACATCACATCAAACTGAGTGTAGACGGCCGTGTCATTCATTCAAGGGACATTAAATGAACTCTAAGTGTCCATGAAAAAAACATTCATAGGGTTAAGCACTGTAATGCCGATTACGGTTCCAAGAGGGAGGTCGGTTCGATATATCCGGGTTAGTGTGGGGCTTTACATACTGTCTCCAGTTCCAGCGCCTGAATTATAAAACAAACAAAAAGGAAATTTTTGCAAATTATACAAAAAGTAAAACAAGAAAGGAAACTAGAATTGGTAGTAACTTTATACATTATCACGGATGTAACTCTAGAAAACAAATAACCAAACAATAGACTGGTGCTTTACATTACCCTACAACATGATCACTCTATTATATTGTGCTCTCTGCATACGCGAATATTAAAATTAACTTACACAGAATCCGCCGGCAAAGACTTATAAATATCAACAATAGCCTTGTCCTTAATCTATGGAAATGTGCGAACACGACGATTACGTTTTACGTTATTTCTGCACAATATGGGATATTTGAAATTACGCTTGAGTTTATTTGTCGAAACATTTATTATATTTTTGATCAATGAAATCCTGTTCAGTGATTGGTCTACATGGCATCACGTGACCAAACATAACATTGCTATGATGTAACCGTGACGTCATCCATGGTATAGTGCACTACGCCATTGCACTATACCATGGATGACGTCATATATATACGACCGATCAAGATCAATGTACTATCGGTCGCGGTCGCGCGTCTGCGCTGCTCTTACTGCACTCTTCACTACTTCAGTGACAGTAAACATTATTATTATCATTATTATTTTTTGAAGGTTGGTTTGAAAAATATAAAACAAATATTTCATGCACTACTTCAAGCCACTAGTGAAATTATGGATTCCTTGACGACAGAACTAGTGCTTTTCCTGCCACCTCGATCCATAATTTCAACTAGAGCCCCCTAGTGCATGGTATATTTGTTTACTATTGCGGGCGATACAAGGTAATGGGAAGGCGTAGGAAGAGAGCGTCCTTGTCTATGGCAGTTTAAGAGTTAAACTCACCGCTACAGAAGACGACCTTGCCTGACCTCCTGCCGCACCAGCAATCCTGGTGGAATTGTTCGCAGTCTGGCGTTAAGTAAAACAAAAAAAATAAAAATAAATGAAAGCAAAATTGAAAAAATATGTAGAGGACTCATTAATCATTTACATCCCAACTATTCACGGATTATTTAACATATAGAGAGGCGTCACTGCGTGCAAATTAAGAATCAATCCCAAAGTGATGAAGATTTTCCATGAAATTCTTAGTTTCCCCTTCTGAATAGATACTTGAATCTGCGCATTATGGAAGCATGATAAATGAATAATGATATTAGTCAACTTTCATTTTCCCCTAGTTATGATCTTTTATGTGGGTTTTACAAATGTGGTTCAAATGCCATTGTCTTCTCATGTGCAGATTAAATTTTTTGTGAATACTCATACACACGCATACATGCACATACTCGCTCTCTCTCTCGCATTCTCCCCCTCTCTATCTCTTAATTAATACACCTCTCTCACTTTGTTTTATTTCCCATTATTGTTCCTATATGTTTTCTCTCTTATTACGCTCTGATATTTACAGGATCATGACAATATTAATACTTACACTTGTACTTCTTCAAGTTTTGTCCCCTCTTCTCAGCCATGAAGAAGTCCTCCATTGTGTTCTCCTCGAAATCGGTTGCGAGGGCGGCAATGATGAGAATGGCAGCGAGAACGAAGAAGAGAGCCTTGGCCATTTTGATTGGTCGTTAGCTGATTAAAAAATATTGTTGAAGGATGAGACAGCTGTTAAAGAAAGCTATTAATATGGTAACTTCATGAACCGGAACCCGGGAGAAGGGGGGGGGGGTGGTGCCTGCTTTTGTGTGATCTGATGAAAAGAGTTGCGCTAACATGACCTAAAGATAGGCATCCATAGTTCAATGTTTGCACTGATATAATTATATATGTAGTTCTACCTCTTGTTTTTTTCTCCGAATCTCATACGTAATAAGTTAAACAAATACCGTAGCACAAGCTAACACAGACAAAACTGCATGCTGCAACCTACATTTGTGGAATCCTACTTCGAAAAATATTTGAAGGTTAATTAATATTTATAAAGGACAGGTTTCGGAACAGCCCACGAGATCGACAGCTCAGGAGACGGACAATATTAGTCTGGTGAACCGTCAAAAACGTTGTTGGAAGGCCCACATACAAGACGGACATATCGGTCTCGTAAGCTGTCGATCTCGCTGGATATTGGTCTCGTGGGCTGTTGGTCTCGGAGGCTGTTGGTCTCGTGGGCGGTTGGTCTCGTGGGATGTTGGTCTCGTAGGCTGTCGATCTCGCTGGATGTTGGTCTCGTGGGCTGTTGGTCTCGTAGGCTGTTGGTCTCGTCGGCCGCCGGTCACAGCGTCCTTCTCACAACATTTCAGAAGGTTCGCTAGACCGACATTGTCAGTCTCACGGGCTGTTGGTCTTTTGGGCTGTATCCTATAATATTTGATTGTTCGTTGTTTAAAAAAAAAAAATCGTCAGTAAAAACATATATGTACTCACCTAGTGAGGACAGTAGATAACAGTCTGTGCAACGATGTCAGGAATACTTGCTCTTATCAAATAATCCACCATTTATAGTTTTTATCCCGAAATGCTCGGCTTATAGGTGACGTTCAAAGGTGTGTTTACATTCTAAAAAACAAAAAACCAAGATGCTAATATGTGCAACATAGACAATGAAGATCAAAGAGGTTAGTTGTGATCCATCATAACACAAAAAACTACATCCATGGCCTTTGCAAAAATGCCATGAGCTATTTTCTGGAAAAAGGCGAAGAAAACCTTCATGGATACATTGGCAGACATGTTAAGAAAGGTGTCAGACGAGTTGTTTCTCAAAATTGTCATCACCTTTAAATATTTAGGGTTTTAAAGCGGCGGTTCAGAATATGGAACATATTTTTTACTGTAAAGGTTATACATCGTTGATGGTTAGACAGGCAGATGACACTTTTCCTACATGCGTATTAAAAGACATTAAAAAAAGTAAGAAAGCGCAAACATTTCCCAACTTGTTTTGTTTTAAAGTTCGTGCATTCTGCTGCAGCTTGTGTCCTTTCATTATGACAAAAAAAGAAGACCACTAACTTGCCAGCTTCGACCCCACATCTATCACGGAGGAACGCAGGTTTGTGCTGTACGTAACGGCTCAGTGGTAACACCACGAAAGACCATGTGACTTTACATAACGCCACGAAACACCACGTGACTTCGTATAACGCCAAGTATAGGGACACGCATTCGGACAAAAATACAATGACAACACAAAATGTTGACTTTCAAAAAGTTAGTTTGAACTTTCTGAAGGCTTTATTGAAACTATAATGACTCCCTAGATCGTCCATATACTATCACTTTCACCTCCCCATCTCTCTCTCTCTCTCTCTCTCCCCCTCTCCCCCTCCCCCCCCCCCCCTCTCTCTCTCTCTCTCTCTATTTGCAATACATTAGCCTGAATATATACATATGAACTTTCCGTACGATTACAGTCTATTCTGGATTTGGGTTCCAATAAAGTAAATGCAGAATTTAACATTTTTTTTTTGTGGGGGGGGGGGGATGATTTACGTCATGCATGGTGTTAAAGATTTGTATTTACCTTTGTAACTTTCCCTATAAATGTATGGACAAATACATTTAGATATATATGAATATATATGTTCTGTTATTTTTCTGCTATCACATATGTTTAACTTTCACTACAACTATATTGCGTACAAGTTCTCTATTCTAAGCGAAACAATAACATTTATTTCAATTTCGTCCGTATAAAATTTCCTTCTTTCTTTATAACTGAATATATTTTGGTTGATGATATTTGCCTATTTAGAATTTATAATCCTTAACATTCTAAATCAAACTTTCAAATGGCTAGGTGAATATCATAACACCACAAAATGTTGACATTAAAATGCAACTCTGAACTTTCTGAAGTCCTTGTTGAAACTACAATGACGCTCCCTAGCCCTTGCATATAAACGTACTATCACTTCAATCTCTCTCTCTCTCTCTCTCTCTCTCGTTGCAATAAATTACCACTTGACCAACTCACTTATGTCCATCGAACTTTCACAATCACATGTATACATCATGGTGAGTTTAGTTCGTTCCAGAGCAGGTGAAAAAGGAAAATACACAGTATAAAATATTGAAGTTTACATGCGCCACTGACCATCTTCTGTTCTACCTTTTCCATCATGGAAATTGATGCTATCCTATCTTTCTACGTGGAATCATCTGCAAAAGCAGCAATTAAATCAAGAATTGTGTTTGGTGACCACTCTCTTTTTCTGACGCACTAGTCCAGTAGACGGTACCATATGCCATGTACATGACCTGGAAAAGTTGATAAGTACAAGGTTTTTTTGTTGATTTGTGTTCTAGATTGGTATTGAAGTAAATTCAGCTTGGTTGCCAGCTTGGCAACATTGGGCAACTTTTTTAATAGCCATATTAGCATAATCATCTAATTAGCATATGTGCAATATGTAATAATGTTGCTTATCTCAATCCAGGAAGCCTGAAAACATGGATAATACGACTTTTCAAGGGTTTTATATGACAAGGAATTCATTTATGACACCAATTTTTATTTTTAAGTAATACAATTGTCTTAAATAGCATAATTGGCATAATATGTACAATATATGGACTTCATTGACATTGTTTATCTATAAAGCCTAAAAATGGTGCAATACAAGATTATAAATCACTTTTGAAAGATTAATCATTAATTCATGGGAAGATATTCCATGTATATGTAGTATAATCAGCCTAATTAGCATAATAATCTAATTAGCATATATGTGAAATATGTAATAATGTTGTTAATCTTAATCCATGAAGCCTGAAAACATAGATAATGTGACTTTTCAAGGGTTTTCCATGACGAGGAATTCATTTATGACACCAATATTTATTTTTGAGTAATGCTATTGTCTTAAATAGCATGATCAGCTTATTAGCATGTGTACGATATATGGACTTTATTGTCATTGTTTATCTATAAAGCCTAAAAATGGCGCAATGCACCATTGTAAATCATTTTTGAAAGACTACACATTAATTCATTAGAAGATGTTCCATGTAAATGTCGTATAATTAGCTTAATTAGCATATACACTGTATGTGCCATATGTAATAATGTTGCTAATATTAATCTAAAAAGACTGAAAACATGGATAATATGACTTTCCGGGGTTTTCCATGATGAGGGATTCAGTTGTGACACCATTTATTATTTTTAAGTAATGCAATTGGCTTAAAATGTAATTATTGTACTAATATGCCTAATTAGCATATATGTACAATATCAATTATTTGGGACTCTATTTAGCTTCACAAATCGTATGTCCAATGTGGTGGTTATCTTGGTCTTAAGGCAATGTTGTCGTACCTCATGAAATGTCTAGGAAATTACGAGGTCATCATCCGCATTGATGGTTGGGCTTAAGTCATTGGATTTAGAGAGACTGTCGGAAACACACTGAAGATGGTTAAAGCAGATGATAATGATGGAATTGATGATGTGGTGACACAGGTACGTCATAGGCCAGGGATGTTGAATACAACAGTGCGAACTATGATCTGTCTATGTTAACCAAAGCCAGAACCATTGAGAGTACAGGCCCGACGTTGCTCAAGCTGGTGGTAGAATTCCTGGATAAGTCATATTATCCATGTTTTCGGGCTTCCTGGATTAAGGTTAGCAACATTATTACATATTGCACATACATTCTAATTAGGCTAATTATACTACATATACATGGAATATCTTATCATTAATTAATAATTAGTCTTTCAAAAGTGATTAACAATGTTGCATTGCATCATTTTTAGGTTTTATAGATAAAAATGACAATGAAGTCCATAATATATCGTACACATGCTTATTAGCTCATTAATGCTCATTGTGCTATTTAAGACAATTGCATTACTTGGAACCAAAAACTGGTGTCATAAATGAATTCCTCGTCATAGAAAACCCTTGAAAAGTCGTATTATTCATGTTTTCAGGCCTCCTGGATTGAGATTAGCAACATTTTTACACATTGCACATATATGCTAATTAGATTATTATGCTAATTAGGGTAATTATACTACATATACATGGAATATCTTCTCATGAATTAATGATCAATCTTTCAAAAGTGATTTACAATGTTGCATTGCATCATTTTTAGGTTTTATAGATAAAAATGACAATGAAGTCCATAATATATCGTACACATGCTTATTAGCTCATTAATGCTCATTGTGCTATTTAAGACAATTGCATTACTTGGAACCAAAAACTGGTGTCATAAATGAATTCCTCGTCATAGAAAACCCTTGAAAAGTTGTATTATCCATATTTTCAGGCTGCCTGGATTGAGATTAGCAACAATATTACATATTGCATATATATGCTAATTAGATTATTATGCTTATTAGGCTAATTATACTACATCTACATGGAAAATCTTCTCATGAATTAATGATTAATCTTTCAAAAGTGATTTACAATGTTGCATTGCACCATTTTTAGGCTTTATAGAAAAACAATGACAATGAAGTCCATATATTGTACACATTATGCTAATTATGCTATTTAAGACAATTGTATTACTTAAAAATAAAATTGGTGTCATAAATGAATTC